CATTTGCCCGTCGCCCAATCAGGTGTCTTTCAGAACGCTGCCACGCGTTACATTTCTGTATTCCATTCCAGGTTCGTGGGTCGATCATGTTGCTTGTGGGGGCCCTCTTGGAGAGCCATGACGCTCTCTTGGGTCTTCTTCTCGGCCTCCTGGGCCATCTGGAAAGCATCTTGAGCGTCTTGGAGCGATCTCTCGGCGACTCGGGGCCTCTTGGGCCGTGTAGGGGGCGTCCTGGCGCGCTCCTGGACCGCCCTGAGGGAGTCAGCCAGCCATCGCCCAGGCATCGCCCGGGCATCGCCCGGGCATCGCCCGGGCATCGGCGGGGCTATTTTTCGTCGAGGGCTCCCCCGCGGCCGCCACGCGCGCGCGAATTCGAAATATTGTCAACCAGTTACTGGAAATCTTAGCACGCCTCTGGCCCGTTGGGCCGGCGACATTTCATTGGAGGAAGCGCCCCGTTGGAAGACAACCGTTGGAGAATCTGTCACCGTGTCAAAACACAATCCTTTGGACTTTATCGCCCCATAACTGTTGCTTCCTGACAGTCTTATATCGTGAATGGGAGCCCTTGGAGTTCAACGCAGGGAATCAACGTGACCGTTGCGTCCTGACAGTCCTAAGCCGCGCCAGAACACCATTCCTGGGACTCCAACCGCACGAACCCTCGTTTGAATTCGCCCAGACTTTTGAAAAGAAGATGCGCGGCGCTCAGCCGAGAGCCTCACTTTGAAAAGGAACCGCCCTCAATCCGTGAAACGGTTGTAGACGTTTACAACGAATGTGCGCAGCGCTTCGGCGAGAGCCACATTGCAAGAATGGCCCGCCCTCCATCCGCTAATTTGCTGCAATGTTTTCACGCGGATGTGCGCGTTGCTCAGGCGAGAGCCACATTTTGAAAGCGACCCACCCTCCAGGCGCGAGGCTGTTGCAGATTTTGAAAGCGAATGCGCACGGCGCAAGGGCGAATGCCACATTGTGAAAACACGTTTACATACATAACCCCCTCAAGTCGGGCAACTCGTGCAACGTTCGAGCTTCGGGGTCATAAAAGGTGAGGATGTCTCAGGCGAAACGCCGAGCCTGCCCTACAGACACGTTTGGTGCGGCATGGGGGAGCTAGTAACCAGGAGAAGGAAAGGAGTAGTAGGAGGAGGAGGAGGAAAAGGAGGAGGAGGAGGAAGAGGAGGAGGAGGAGGAGGATAATGAGGAGGAGGAGCAGGGAAGAGCAGGGAGGAGGGAGGACGGAGGAGGAGGAGGAGGGAGGAGGAGGAGGAGGAGGAGCAGGAGGAGGGAGCAGGACGAGGAGGAGCAGGACGAGGAGGAGGAGGAGGAGGAGGAGGAGGAGGAGGAGCAGGAGGAGGGGGGAGCAGGAGGAGCAGCAGGAGGAGGACGGGGCCGGCTGCCGCCCCGCCGCACCACGAGAGAGCCCCAGGCTGGGCGCCGCCCGCGAGCGCCGGCGCGCCCCGCGGGCGGGCGGCGGCGGCCGGCGCAGGCCCGTCGCGCCAGCCGGCCGCCCGCGCTTGGCCGACCCTGACCTTCCAGAGAGCTATTGTTTTGCACGGGAGGCCTAAAAACCTAAAAAACTAAACGAAACAGCCTAAAACCAAGACATAGAATAGCTCTGGGATAGGTTTTTGAGTCGCGTGTTTTTTTTTAGCCCTCCTGGAAGGTCAGGGGAGGGGCCTGGGGACCCAGACTTCCTCCCCGCGTCGTGGGAAGATCACGACGGGAGGTTTGTCGCCGTCTTCGTCAGGAGGGGAAGAAACACACAGACACAATCAGTCGTCGACTCCCCAGAAGATGTGGGAAAAGATGGGAAGTGGGGGGGAAGACAAAACAAACAGAAACTATGGGATAAGATGCTGAATATTTTTATTTGTGTATTTATTTGTGTGTCCTGGGGCCCCTTCACTTCGGCCCCTGGGGGCCCTCACCGGGCCTCGAGACCCTCCAAAAATCAAGCAGTGGCGAGGCGTCCTGGCTCGCAACATAGCCCTACCAATCAATGTTCTAAGAACCTCTCTTGTGGTTTCCACCAGATGTTCTTAGAACATTTCTGGCGGAGAGTGTCTTGTTTTAACACATGGGTCTCATGTCCTAAGAACATTGTTCTTGTTCCTAGAACATTTTTGAGTCCTAAGAACAGTTCGTTGAAGGGCTATAGGAATGCAGGGACGGTCGGTCCCTCGTTAAAAAACAAATCCGGATGAAAAACCGATCCTGGGGAAATGGATGAACAACCAGCCATTAGGCAAGATGCGGGGACGCCCCGCAGCGACGAGCGCAGATTGTACAACATTTTCCACACGTGGTATAGCCATGTACAGCAAATCCAGCTTGCGAAGTCTTGTTCATTGCTCCCATGTCGTCGTGGAAAAAAACAGACGGTCCCGGGGAAGTGGCCCAGATCTCTGGGGGTCGACGTTCCGAAAAGATCACGACGTCGGGGGTCTGGGGAGGGGAGGCTTCATGCGGGCACCCCCACTGGGGCCTTCGGTGGAGCTCCCTGTGTGGCCACGAAACGCTGCCTTGGGTGGGGGAACCGCATGCGGGCACCCCCACTGGGGCCTTCGGTGGAGCTCCCTATGGGGCTACGAAACGCTGTCCTGGGTGGGGGAGCCGCATGCGTGCACCCCCACTGGGGCCTTCGGTGGAGCTCCCTAGGGGGCTGCGAAGCGCTGCCCTGGGTGGGGGAACCGCATGCGGGCACCCCCACAGGGGCCTTCGGTGGAGTTCCCTATGGGGCTACGAGAGGCTGCCCTGGGTGGGGGGAGCGCATGCGGGCACCCCCACTGGGGCCTTCGGTGGAGCTCCCTATGGGGCTGCGAAAGGCTGCCCTGGGTGCGGGAACTGCATGCGGGCGCCCCCACTGGGGCCATCGGCGGAGCTCCCTGTGTGGCCACGAAACGCTGCCTTGGGTGGGGGAACCGCATGCGAACACCCCCACTGGGGCCTTCGGTGGAGCTCCCTATGGGGCCACGAAACGTTGTACTGGGTGTGGCGGACGTATGCGGGCACCCCCAGTGGGGCCTTCGGTGGAGCTCCCTGTGGGGCCACGAAACGTGCGAATGGTGCGCCGAAATGGGTGATGATGATGATGATGATGATGATGATGATGACGAGGACGGTAACGGTGACGATGTCGATGATGATGACGATGATGATGGTGATGATGGTGATGATGATGATGTAGATGATGTAGATGATGTAGATGATGATGATTACGATGATGATGATGCTCATGATGATGATGATGATGATGATGATGATGATGATGATGATGATGATGATGGTGGTGATGATGATGATGATGATGATGATGATGAGGATCATCATCATCATCATGATGATAATGATGATGCTGATGATGATGATGATGATGATACGGCTAGCCCCTTGCATAATGATGGTGATGGTGATGATGATGATGCTGATGATGATGATGATGATGATGATGATTGAAATGATGATGATGATGATGATGATGATGATGATGATGATGATGATGATGATGATGATGATGATGATGATGATGATGATGATGCTGATGAGAGGAGGAGGGAGGGGGCAGCGGGAGGAGGAGGAGTGAACGCGGGGGGCTGTCTCTTCAAAACGAGGACCCAACACCACAGGATGGTTGGAAAAAACACACAGACGCAATCCATCGTCGATCCCACAGAAAATATAAGAGAATATGGGAAGTGGAGGGGAAGACCGAAACCGAGAAAATATTGGAAACTATAGGGGATCCTTTTATTTGTGTGTATGTACTTGTGTGTCCCAAGGCCACTTCACCGACCTAATGCTATATGCGGGGCCCCAGGGGTCCCGCGTGCGCCCCGCGGCCGCGGCGTGACGGCGATCGGCGTGCTCGCGTCGCCTCCCCGTGCACCCAGGCGCCCTGCCCCGGCGCTGTTCCTCGGTGTCGTTTAACCGACCTCAAGTCGGGCCTGTCTCTTTACATGAGGAATATATTCAATGACCCTGGCGACGTACCCAACCCCTGCGCAATGCGGGGCATGAGTAGCTTGGGGGACGGTATACGGAGGTGATGACGTGACATGGGCGCATATACTTATGCAAGCGGCATTCGTGAGTCTCGTAACCCCCCAAGGATTGCGATGTCCCGCTCAGATTTGGCTTGTGCCTCACTCCGCAGGACCCACAAGAGGCCCTCGAAAGTGGCGACAGTTTCGCAGAACGCACCCCCCCAGGGACGGCGAGGTCCCGCTCGGGTCCGCGCGGTGCCTCACTCCGCAGGACCCACCAGCAGCCCTCGAAAGTGGCGACAGTGTCGCAGATCGCAGCCCCCCAGGGACGGCGAGGTCCCGCTCAGGTCCGCGCAGTGCCTCACTCCGCAGGACCCACCAGCAGCCCTCGAAAGTGGCGACAGTGTTGCAGATCGCAGCCCGCCAGGGACAGCGAGGTCCCGCTCAGGTCCGCGCGGTGCCTCACTCCGCAGGACCCACCAGAGGCCCTCGAAAGTGGCGGCAGTTTCGCAGATCGCAGCCCCCCAGGGACGGCGAGGTCCCGCTCAGGTCCGCGCGGTGCCTCACTCCGCAGGACCCACCAGCAACCCTCGAAAGTGGCGACAGTTTCGCAGATCTCAGACGACGGCGGCGTCCGCACTGAAGCCGCGCCGACGCTGGCGGCGTGTTGGTCCGAGGGTCTGGGTTTTCAATGTTTTTGAGTTTTGCGAGAGTCTTGACGGCAGCGGCGGCGACGATGGCTGCGACGACGACGACCAACACGACGACGACGGTCACGACGACTGCGACGACGATCAAAACCACGGTTCAGAACGGCACGACCACAACGACCACGACCACCACCGCCACGACGGCGACGACGGCGGCGGAGGCGACGAGTGCGGCGAGCGCGGCGGCGGCGGCGGCGACGACGACGGCGGCAGCGACAGCGGCGGCGGCGATTGTGGCGACGACGGCGGCGGCGGCGGTGGCAGCGGCGCTGGGCGAGCGCGGCGGCGCCCGCCCCCTCAGCTGCGCTCGCCGCAGTGGCACTGCGCGCCGTCCCAGACCGCCTCCGCGGCGGCGCGCGGCGGCGGCGCGGCCGCGTCGGCGCTTTCGGCGGGGGGGCTCGTCGGTAGCTCGTCGTCGCCACCGTTGGTGGTTCGTCGTCGCCGTCGTCGGTGGTCCGTCGCCGGCGTCGTCGATGGTTCGTCGCGGTCGTCGCTCGCGGCGCCGGCGCCAGCATCGTCGTCGTCCTCGCCGTCGTCCTCGTGGGCAGCGTCGTCGCCGTCGCCATTGTTGGCGGCGTCGTCGTGGTGGTTATCGTCGTGGTCTCTGCCGCCGTCGTCGGCGTCCCCGGAAGTCTGGACCCTTCTCCCCCCCCCCAGGGCCGGTTTTTCATCCTGAGTCGTTTTGTTGACGCTCGTGGGGAGCGGCGAGGGCCCCCAGGAGCCGAAAATTCAGAAACAGTCTGCTTTCCGGATTTTGTGACGACGCGATCCTGTCTGGGTAGTCTTCTGACGTTCGTGGCCCTTTCCAGGCCGCTCCCTGCAGGCGTTCGAGGGTGCTTCTCTGAACCAGGGTCCAGCCAGGGTCGCCGCCACACCGCCGTCGTCGCGTGGACCTCGACGCCGTCGCCCTGTCTTCTGCAGTCCTGACGTTTTCCGCCCGTGTGTTAGGTCGGGCCTGTCCCCGCACAGGGGGGACTTCGGACGCAAAATACAAGAATACCCCCCAACAAAAATCCGAAAAGGATCAGACAGTGATTCGAAAGGTCGCCCCCCCGCTCATTTTTTGACTCTTTTGAATCGTCCTCCTGTAGAGGGACGTGCCCGACTGAACCCTTGTGGGCCCTCCTGCAGGATTCTCGTGCCCACGGCTCCGGCGCGGGGTGATTCTCGTCCACGGCCGCCGCCTGCCGAGGCCCCCGAAAAGGTCGATCCCGGGGCCCCGGCCGCGATGGTGCCGTGTCCCGGCCTCGCCACGGCTCGCTGCGAAGACTCCTCCTCCTCCTCCTCCTCCTCCTCCGCCTCCTCCTCCTCCTCCTCCTCCTCCTCACAGCCGGATGGCCGAGACCCGACCTCGCCACGGCTCGACTCGAAGACGAGAAAATCCCATAAACACAGGCTGTAGTAGTAAGTCGTGCCTGTCCCTCTACAGGAGGGATATCCAAAAGTAGTCAAAAGTAGTGTCGGGGACGATGTTTTGGCTATTTGTGAATATGTTTGAATATGTTTTGACTATTTGGGGTGTTTCGTCCAGAATCCGCCTGCTGTAGGAGGACATGCCCGGCCTAACTGTAGTAGCTCCGCGCGGATGCCTTGGATCTGCGCGGAGCCCGCCAGAGGGGCCCAGCGCCGATCCCAGGAGCCCGCGCGGAGCTCCAAAAGTTCAATGCTTCCTCATTCTTCCCTTTATCTTGGCGTCGCTCGGACGTGTGCGTTTTTTCCTCGGCGAGGGTCATCGAGGAGCATCCTCGATCATCTGGCGAAAAAACCACGCACGTCCGAGCGATGGCCAGTTATGGACGCAGCCCGAAGAGCTGGCCGGGAGCGATCCTTGGAGGTGTCCAGGGGCTGGCCTCCAAAGTGCTCAGGGCAGGGCGGGGGGCCGTTCCGAGGCGTTCTCGGGTAGCCCTCCTCGTGCCCTCTCGGAGGCACCTTTCTTGAGCCCGGTGTCGCTCGGACGTGCGCATTTTGTCCCAGCGGGGAACATCGAGGAGCATCTTGCGCCGCCCTTCGAATGAATAAGCGCGCGAAGCCAACACATGCACGGGGAATTGACGTCCGAGCTTAGGGTGCAGCTACTGGGCGGTTGACTTCGGCACCATTGCTGGTAGATCTGTGCTCGAACTGGCCCACCCCAGCACAATCCTGTGCAATTCCGTTTAATCCCGCTCAATCTGTCTTCATCGCGGCTCTGTTGGGCTCAATCCGGGCTAATTTGGCCCAACGGCCATCGAGTCAGCTTAAATAGCTTTAGATCGGTCCCACTAAAACTTGCCAGGAGTTGCCTCCTGACCTTTTGGAGGCATCGGAGATGGGGCCGATCCCTCGCAAGAGGCCCCTTCGGCAGCAACTCATGCGAGCCTCGTGTGCCGCCTGAATTCTGTCTTTCGCGTCGAGCAGCGTCTGGTAATTCATGGGATAGCGCCGGTGTAGGGTCGATTGACTTGGGCTAGTGTCGAACAGCGTCAATCCAGCGTCGAGCACTGTTGACTGGCGTCGATTAGCGTCGGCCAGCGAAGCGGCAGGGGAGGCTTCCACGAGTTTTATGATGTTCCAACCTACTTTAGCCTTGACCACCAGAAAGAATCTCGAGCACGAAACAAATATACCGAAACTCGAGGGTTTTCACGCGTCGGGCCCTGGGAGACGCTCGCCTGACGCTGGTTCGACACTCCGTCGACACTCTGTCGGCACTTTTCCGGGTGCTCGAACATTTTTTGGGGATGTGGCCCTCAAGTACCATGAGAGCAACATAGCGCGAGTTGCCATCGAAGGCCCCCCCACTCCCCTCGCAGAGGGGCTGGCCTCATGCACAACCCCAGCCAACGGGGGGAGGCGGCGCGCAGGGGGCCGAGCGCGCGAGGAGCCCCCCCGGGAGAGCCCCGGAGGCCTCTGGTTGGGCGCCGCGTAATGGGGGGGTCATAAATGGGGGGGCGGCGAGTGTGGTCCGAAAAGGTACCCAAACGGTACCTAAACGAGCCCCCTGGGGCTCTGGAGGGGCCCGAAAGGGGCACGAAAGGGGACCTTTTCTGACCCCCCCATTTGTAACCCCCCCATTAAGCCACGCCCAATCTGGAAGTCTGCACACATTTTTGATCTGCGGCGCGAGAGCGAACCTCTTCCGCTAAAAGCCAGGCGGGCTACGCACAGCGTTAATTAGGGAGACAGGGCACAGGAAGGCGGGGCCTCAGGCGGCCGGAGCGGTCGGGGCCCGGGGAACAGGCGGTGCCGAAGTGGATGTGCAGGAAGTCTGCGCACATGCATGCGGTGGTCTTCGCAGTCAGCTGGCAGTCAAAGCAGCCATCGGCATGCGTCAGGGCTGGACCCAAATACTCCCCGCAGCTGGGCTCGGGCATGCGGCGTGCTTTGCGGGCAGGGAGCGGAGGGTCGATGCCAGATTTATCATCGGATCCGCCTTCCTCCGCCCCAGAGGCAGGTCTCCACAGGCTTCTGGAGGCCTTCCAAAGGCCCGCGGAGGACTAGGATGTGTCAATCACGCTGAGAATAGCTTTGATCACGCCATCGTCAGCGCCGCATCCGCCGACGCCGCCTTCGTCGTCGTTGTCTTGATCGTGGTCGTGGTCGTGACGAAGCTTCACAGCTCAAACATACTGCTTTATTAGCACGCTCGCTCAGCTCAGCCTGCGTGGCGTAAGAGCATTCCCAGCCTTGGCCTTGGAAGGGTATCGGCGTCACCCCAACACACTACTACGGTGTGCGCGTCGGCTCCCCCAGGGGCGACGCGCGCACCGAGAAATCTTATAGTATATGCGCCGTGGCGGGCGCGTTTGCCACACCGCTCAGGAAACGATATACAGTCAAAACCCTAATAAGGACGCGCGACTGTGCTCAGGGTACCCTTGCGTCCTTGCTCTTCCTTGCTCTTGCGTCCTCGAGGTTTTCGTCGTCCGCCGCCCCAAAATTCCTAACCTCGGCTCCCAAGGGTCTTGCGTCCCTACCGCGCGTCCTTATTAGGGTTTTTGACTGTACCTCCAGGAGGACGCGCGCTTCCAAGGAGGACATGAAGTACTAGTATGTCTCTGTGCGCCCCAGGGGCCCTCCACCTCGGAGTGCTCGTCGGGAGCACCTCCGTGGGGCACCTGGGCCTTCGGCGAGCGGGCTCGAGGTCTTGACCCGCGCTCTCCCAGCCTGAAGTCGGGCATGTCCCTCTGCAGGAGGAATATCCAAGAATAGTCAAAACATAGTCTGGGGACTATTTTCGACTATGGTTGGCTGTTTTTGGATATTTTGTTGACTGGTTTGCATTTCTCGTCAAAAACCGTCTGCAGGAGGACATGCCCGACCTAATCTCTGCCACGTTGTCAAGGGACATGCCCGACCTAATCTTAGCCACGTTGTCGAGGGCAACGCTAAGGGCCACTAGGCGCCTGAAAGCCCACGCCGTCCAGGGCTGTGCGTCTTCACATCGGGGGCCCATCGCCGATCCATGGGCGATGTAGATTGCCGATTCCAGCTCGGTGTGCCCACCCTTCGGATGGCCCCCCAATGGTCCTCGTCGCTTGGTGTTCGGATCATACCTCGGGTCTCCAGCGGCCGTTCCGGACGAGCAGGGCGCTCCCCCGAACGCTCAGCTCTCGGCGAGGCACAGCCGCTGGAAGGCATCCTGAGGCTAGAAAGCCGCCGAGAGCCAACGAAAGCGTCCGAAAACCTTGTGCCTCGAACGTCGAAGCTTCGTTCAATCATCAGTTGGGCTGCGGGGGGTTGGGGAGGGAAGTCGAGGATCCAGGAGGGCCGAGGATCGAGCAAGAGGATGAGGAGCAGGAGGAGGATCGGCTTCAGGCTCCGAGCGCCGCACCGATCGGCTTCGAGGCTCCTGGGGCCGAGCTGTACAGGAGGCCGGTTCCAGGCTGTATGCCCTCCATCTCCCTCGGCACCCCCCCACGGGCGCGGGGTGATTGGTGACGTGAGAGTTCAGGGTCAGGGGCCTCTCGCCCGCAGAGTCATGAAGGTTTTTACCGATTGCTACGCTGAGGACAACACATGCCTAGCCCCGGTGGACACGCACCTCAAAGCTAGGTGCGTGCTGGGGTTGCGGGATAGATCGGAGGAGGATTGAGAAGGAGGAGGATGACCGAGGAGGAGGCAGAGGACCCAGGATGGAGGGTGATCGAGGGGAGAAGGCGGAGAGGTTGCGCAAATCCCAGACTTTAACGATGTTGAACACACATCTTTCCATTGCGGGATGTGCCCCGTTGAGAGACAACCGTCTGAAAATCATGAACTGCACCAGAGCATCATTGTCTGGACCTCCACGCCAAGAATCAACCTTACTGTTGCGTCTTGACGATCCTGAATCGTGCCAGAACACCATTCCTGGGACTCCAACACCGCGAATCAACGCAACCACTGCGCCCTGGCAATCCTGCGCCCTTCCGAAACATCCTTCTTACTGCGCCTTGACGGTCCTGAATCGCGCCAGAACGTCATTCCTGAGATTTCAACGCCGCGAATCGACTGTTGCGCATTGACGGTCCGACTCCGCTCCAAAACACAGTTCTTGGTACGTGAACCGTGGGAGTCCGTGAAACCCTGTCATGTATCAGAACAGCATGCGCGGCGCTGAGGCGAGAGCCACATTTTGAAAAGGAGCCGTTCTCCACCCGTGAAATTCTTGATGGCTCTTACAGCGAGTGTGCGCGGCGCTACGGCGAGAGCCATCTGGTGAAAACCACCCGCCCCACAATCCGCGAAGCTCATGCACATGTTCGAAAGGAATGTGCGCCTCGCCAAGGCGAGAGCTACATTTTGGAAGCGGCTCGCACTCGATGTGTGAAACTGTCGCCACGTCTGAAGCTTCAGTGTCAGAAGTGGCAGGGAAGTCTCAAGCGAAACGCCCGGCCTGCCTTTCCGACCGGCCTCGGGGTGGGACAGATAAGGAACGAGGAATGGTGGAGGAGGAGGAGGAGGAAAAGGAATTGGTGGAGGAGGAGGAGGGGAGGAGGAGGAGGAGGAGGAGGAGGAGGAGGAGGAGGGGCCCCTCCTCTCTCCCTTTACCTGTTGGCTCGTGTGCGCCCTGCCCCCGCAGGTCGCCGGGGGGGGGGGGGGCTCGAGGGCATCGGCCCTTCGACGCGATTTCGTCCGCATCACCGACTCACCTACGTGGAGGAGGAGGAGGAGGAGGAGGAGGAGGAGGAGAAGGAGGAGGAGGAGGAAGAAGGGAGGACGAGGAGGAGGAGAGGAGGCGGAGGAGGAGGCGGAGGAGGAGGCGGAGGAGGAAGTGGGGGAGGAGGAGGAGGAGGAGGGAGGAGGAGGAGGAGGAGGAGGAGGAGGAGGAGGAGGAGTCCCCTCGATCGTTCCCCTCGATGCTTCAACTGTGCCCACAAGTGTGGCCCCGCTTCGTCGGAGGTGCGCGCGCGCCCTCCGTTGCCGAGCCTGGCCGCGCCTCGAGGCGCCCGCGCCTTCGAGAGCGAGCTCGGCGTGCAGGCGCCCCTGGGCTACTGGGACCCGCTCGGGCTTGCCTCTGACGGCGACTTCGAGGACGCCATTTCCTCCTCCTCCTCCTCCTCCTCCTCCTCCTCCTCCTCCTCCCCCTCCTCTTCTCCCTCCTCCTCAGCCCCTGCGGGGGTCTCAAGGAGGGACCCCTTCGCGCGGCGCTCGTCGCGGAGGCGCAGCCGCGCGGAGCCGCGATGTCTCTGGTGCCGTGATGAAGATTTTCACGCTGCGCATTCCGGGAGACAGCATCAATGGAGAGCTCCAGGACCAGATCGCAGCCCTCGCCCGCAAGGTTGGCCCCACAGAGCTCATCGTGGAGTTCAGCGGCCACCCGTGCGGCTTCGAGGAAGGCCATCGAGGCCAACAGGAGGGCGTTCGAGGTGCGGGTCAAGAACAAGAGCTTGCCCATGGCCTCGGACCTCAACTGGGAGGACAGCGTGAGTCGTCAGGGGAAGGTCATGGCGTCCGCTCAGAAGGAGGAGGTGGTGATCGACGACTGGCCAGGCCTGGGCGAGGCGCTACGGAAGGCTGGACTATCGGAGGTCACCCACCCGATGCTGCAGCTGAGCATCAACGAGGACATCTCGAAACACCCGGTGACGGAGGCTGTGCAGAAGGAGCTGCCGAGGAAGAGGCCGCTCCCCAAGCTGCCGCAGCCCGCGGAGAAGACCGCACTCAAGAAGGAGATGAACAACCGCGAGGACGTCGAAAAGCACCAGATGGAGGTTGTGCAGAAGGAGTTGCCGAGGAAAAGGCCGCCCCCCAAGCTGCCGCAGCCCGAGGAGGAGAAGGCATTGAAGAAGCGCAGGCCGTGGAGGCCAACGCAGGAGATGCACCGGCGGTTCACTACACGGGTGGCGATCTGGAAGTGCGAGGAGTGCCAGTACGCCAATTTCGGTTTCAGGAGGACCTGCAACATGTGTCAGGCCGACGCGCCTGTGGAGACGCAGTACCTGCACAGGAGGCAGCTGGAGGAGTTGTCGCACCTTTACCAGTTCACGAAGGACACGGAAGAGGACCCCTGGGAGGAGCTGGAGAATTTCAACGAGGAGAGCGCGCTTGCCCCACCGCCGTGGAAGCAGGCAGCGCGCAAGCATCGCTGGACCAGGAGGTCGGCTTGATCGGCACTGTCGCGAAGCACCCGAAGCTGATCGACAGCACCAGGGACAGCGCGCTGCGTGTCAATGCGGTGGAGTTCTTCCCCTACGCGCTCGGGGAGGACAGCCACATGCTACTAAACAAGGACGGCCTGCACCAGTGGTACGACACTGATTGTCAGCAGGATGGAGTGCAGTACTTCATAGGAGCTCGCGATTGGCAGGAGGTCAGGGCGCTCTTTGACTTCTACGGCAACGAGCTCGACCTACCAGATGGGCTCAAGATTCAGGCACCGGCCGTGGCAGGGTCGGGGATGGCTCCTGAAGAGACTGGCGACCAGCTCGAGCAGGTTGGTGGCGAGGTCTCTGCTGTTCAAGGCGTTGCTGCGGTGCCAGAATGAGCTCCAGAACATCAGGAGGATGACGGGCGAGATGCAGGCATAGAGCCAGTGGTGTTCCAGAGCGAGCTTGACCACCAGGACGCGATCGCCGAGATGATGTACCTGGAGAACCAGCTGAGGAGCTTCGAGGACTTCCACGAGGACATGTACAACGAGGACGTCGTCAGCTGTGATAGTCTTGATTCTCAAGCAGCGGGTTGCCGCGCATCTCTGCGCATCGGCGCTTCTCTCATCAGCAAGCCCATTGGGGCAAGTTCTGATTCTTCCGAGCCTGACGTCTCTCAGCCCATAGGGGCAAATCCTGATTCAGCTAAGGACTCGGACTTTAACCTCATCGGCAAGGGCATAGGCGCCGGTCCCCAAGCGTTGCGTTTGAGTTCGTGTCTGACAGCCCCAGGGGTGCTGGACCTCTGGCCTGATGTCTCTGGCTAGGGCAAGGACAAGTGCAAGGATAAGAATAAGGGCAAGGGCAAGCTCAAGCCGAAGGACAAACTCCAGCAGGCGGAGGAATGGCTGGACGGCCTCTCGGAGGCTCAGCTCGACGAGTACGTCTCCTTCAGGCTCGGGCCTGACTGGAGGGCCCTAGTCCAGGCCAGGATCGACAGCGAGAAGCGGCGGCGCAGCCCCTGAGCAGCCTGGCGGCCGCGCGTCGCGGCGCCCTTGCGGGCTGTGGGGCCCATCCCTCGTCGCCGCCGCTTGGCCCGCCGCGTTGGCTTCCTCGTCGCCGGGGCTGGGCGCTCGCTCGCTTTGTTTTGGTTTCCCTGGGTTTCTGGCTTCCTCGTCGGCGTGCCGGTTTCCCTTCGTTTTCTGGGCATCGGCCCTCCCTGCGTCGTGGCGTAGGTCCGCGGCGAGGCCATTGGCGGCAGGGCCTGGAGACACAGGCCGTATCATCAGACGCCTCAGACGCTTCTCCTTCCTCCTCCTCCTCCTCCTCCTCCTCCTCCTCCTCCGCCTCCTCCTCCTCCTCCTCCTCCTCCTCCTCCTCCTCCTCGTCCTCATCCTCCTTTTCCTCCGCGTAGGTGACTCGGTGATGCGGACGAGTTCGCGTCGAAGGGCCGAGGCTCGATGCGCACGTCCCCTAGCTCCTCGATGCGCCCTCTCTGAGACGCAGCACGCGGACCGGGCGCAGAACCTCCGTATCGATGCGTTGCGCGTCGTCTCAACGTAATGGCCCACACTTTGGCGAACGCATCGCGTCGGACCTGCGTTATCAGTCTACGTGCTGAGCTCTGTGTCAACACGCTACGTGTTGCGTGTTGGGCATCGGGGCAGCTCAGGTGCGGACTTCTCGTATGGTGTTGGCGGTGATTTAGCCTCTTGGCGGTGTCCCAGCCTCGGGGCTCCAGGGACCCGCTCGGGCTGGCCTCCCACGGTGACTTCGAGGACGCTCAGAGGAGGAAAACTACCACTCGCCCGTCTTCCTCTTTTTCGGTTCCTTTTCCGCTGGATTCGCTCCGAAATCCTGGTCAGAACGCACCCCAGGAGAGGTCCAGGGCCTGGAGTAGCGGTGTCCGTACCCTTTGGTTTCCCCAGACGCCGCCGCCGTTCAGGAGTCGAACGCGATCGGGGCCGAGGTTCGACGTGCTCGGACGCTCTCGCCGGTGCTCGGCGGTTCTCTGCAGCCTCGGGGCGCGTGCCAGCGGCTGCGCCTCGCCGATGGCGCTCCGTGGGGGGCCAGGACCTCTCTTGACGAACCAACAACACACACACACACACCCATACCCATAGAGGGATCGGAGAGGGCTATGGGTGCGTGTTGTCGGAGAGGGGTCCCCGCTCGAACGGGAGCGTTCCCCAGGGTCCGACAACCCGCACCCATACCCATAGCCAGTCCTCCTCCCAACGACCTCCCTACAATGGGTATGGGTGTGTGTGTGTGTTGTTCGTTCGTCCTCGCCGACGGGGCCGCCGGAGGCCGCACGCGTGGCCGCGAAGAGAGCTGCAGTGCTCAACGGTCGCGCGTTCCCCGCCGAGATGCTCGGCCTCAACGGGCCACGTGCTCGGGCCTCGGGGGCCACGAGAGGTGGGCCTCGGGAGCGAACAACAATGGCCGCTCCTCCTCCTCCTCCTCCTCCTCCTCCTCCTCTTCGTCCTCCTCCTCCTCCTCATCCTCATCCTCCTCCTCCTCCTCCTTTTCCTCCCCTCCCCTTCCCCCTCCTCCTCCCCTCCTCCTCCCCCTCCCCCTCCCCCTCCCCCTGCCCCTCCTCCTGCTCCTCCTCCTCCTAAGGAGTCAAGGGAGGAAAGAATAAATGGCCGCGCAGGAGTCCAGGGAGGAACAAAAACACCTGGACCGGACAGTTGGCGTTTTACTCAACGGCCCTGGGCGTTTACTCCACACAGCCCTGCCCCGTTTCGATGCCTTCTCTGGGCGCGCGTGCTGAACGACTTCGCGTGTCGGGGCGGTCGCTATCGGGGTGGATGTTCTGCCCTCTAAGGAGGGGTCGGGAGATCTAGGGACGCGGGGCTGAGAAGCAGAAATTGGAGGCTGTCTGGGGTCGCCGCCGCCGCCGTCGTCGTCGCCGCCACCGTCGCCGCCGCCGCCGTCGATCCGAGGAGGGAAAGGCAGCGATGCCGCTGCTAGTCCCAGAGAGCCGTCGGCGACACGGCCAGATTCGCCCCGGAATGTTGATGAGAGCGCGCCAAGATGTCCCAGGAGGGAGTAGCGATATCGGTATTTGTTAGTTTCCCCAGTGGCCGCCACGGCCGCGGCGGCGGCGCGGTCTTCGTCGTCCTCGTCGTCGCCGCAGTCGTCGTCGCCGTCGTCGTCGTAGATCGTCGTCCGTCGTTGGCCTCGTCGCCGTTGGCTTTGCCGTCGAGGTTCGTGGATGAAGGATTCTGGACGTGTGCGGTCTTCCTTTTGGACTCCAGAGACCCATGCTCACTTCTAGCACCTCCGAGGCCATCGGAACATCTCCAGAAGCCATCGGGGAGTGCCGTCGTCGTAGCGAGCGCCGCTGCCGTCGCCGTCGACGTCGTCGCCAACGTCCTCCTCGTCCTCCTCGTCCTCGTCGTTCTCGACCTTGGCCTAGTCGTTCTCGCCCACGTCCTTGTCGCTCCTCGTCTCCTCGTCCTCGTCCTCGTCCTCCTCGTGCTCGGCGTTGTCGTCGTCCTCGTCGCGAGTGGAGGCGATCGTACGTATCTGGCCTTCGGGGGCACCCTCGTCGCCACGGCGGGAGGCCGCTCGGAGATCTGGTGCGCTCGGACCCACGGGAGGGGTTCGTGGTGGAGGGTTTCTCCGAAGGGCTGAGGCGACCCGTCCTCCTCCTCCTCCTCCTCCTCCTCCTCCTCCTCCTCCTCCTCCTCCTCCCCCTCCTCCTCCTCCTCCTTCTCCTCTTCCTCCTCTTCCTCCTCCTCCGCCCTTCTCCTCCCCTCCCTCCCTCCTCCCCCTCCTCCTCCTCTTCCTCCTCCCCCTCCTCCTCCTCCTCCTCCTCCCTACTCCTCCTCCTCCTCCTCCTCCTCCTCCTCCTCCTCCATTCCCTCCTCCCCCTCCTCCTCCTCCTCCTCCTGCTGCTCCTCCTCCTCCTCGGGTCGCCTGCGGCCCCGGGGGGGAAACCGCGCAGCTCGGGGACCGAGTCTGGGCCAGCGTCGTCTCCACTCGTTCTGCTCCGAGTCTCGGGGCCACGTCGGGGGTCGCTCTGGGGCCGTGTGCTGGGCCGTCGTGCGGCATCCCATGGCCATCCTGGAGCGTCACGGGGGGCCTCTCGGGAAGGTGGAGAACGAGGACGAGGAGGAGGAGGAGAGGGAGGAGGAGAAGGAGGAGGAGGAGGGGGAGGAGGAGGAGGAGGAAGAGGAGGAAGCGGAGGAGGAGGAAGAGGAGGAGGAGGAGGAGGAAGAGGAGGAGAAGGACGACGAGGAGGAGGACGACGGGGGCCTCGAGGAGGAGGAGGACGACGACGAGGAGGACGACGAGGAGACGACGATGGGAGGGGGGTGAAGAACGAGGAGGAGGAGGAGGAGGAGGAGGAACGGGAGGAAGAGGAGGAAGAGGAAGAGGAGGAGGAGGAGGACGACGAGGAGGAGGACGTTTTTGGGCCATTCCCCATGGTTTTTGGAGGCACTTAGAGGCCATCTGTTGGTGTTCACTGGTGGCCGTCCGACGAAACCCTCTCTGGACATCGGCCTTGGAGCCAAAGCGAGCGACAGGCAAAAGCCGTCGAATCATCTGAGGCGTTCCAAAAATGGCCTGGCCTTCGAGTGTCGAAGGAGTTGCCATCGTTTTTTGCGGTTGTAGGCTGCAAGGTTGGCGGGAGGCGGCGGAAGTAAAAGTGGCGGCGGCTTCGCCGGCGGAAGCTCGGCGGAAGCTGGCGGAAGCAGACATTCACCTTTCAAGAGATGACAACATTTTTGGGTTCAGGGCTTCCGGAGTCGGCCATCTGAGGTAACTCGATTTTGCTGTCGTCTTCGGCGGGACCCTTCCGTTGCATCTTCGGGGGACTTCGTGTGTCCCCAAAATTCGTAACTCGTCTTGTGACTGACGCCGGCTCGATGTGGACTTGGCGCGGATTTGGCGCGGATTCGACACGGCTTCGATAAGGATTCGACGAGTCCGACATGGTTTTGACACGTATTCGACGCGGATAGGGACGCGACGGGACAAGCAAGCCCCCCAGAGTTTTTGCTTATGCCGTTTTCTTTATTCTATCTATGGGTGTTCTCTAAGTCGTCCTCGTGCAACCAGGCTCTTCCTTTGGTGCCCCACACTGACTTCGTTTCTTATCTTGCGTTCCATTTTCAGCAGCCGCACTGTACACCCACCAGTCTGATCGAAGACGATTGGCGCGAACCACCGCCGCCCACTGCCCTTTTGGGCTCGCCGACGTGGCCGAGCTCTGTGTCCAGAGCCTGGAGAAGCTATCGGACCATGTGCTCCGCGAGCCACTGTGGACACGCTGGAGGGACCTCTTGGAGGAGGAAGAGGAAGAGGAAAAGAGGGATGACAACTTATGAGAAGAAGGAGGAGGAGGAGGAGGAGGAGGAGGAGGAGGAAGCTTCCTGGGAGCCTCCTTGTGCACTCTTGGGGCCTTCTGAGAGTTTCCTGGGGGCCTCTTGGAGGCCTACTGGAGGCCTCCTTGGGCCTCTGAGGGGCCTTTCGGGGCTTCTTGGCGGCCTCTCCGGCCGTCTTGGGGCGTTGCTGGCCCATCGGGAGCCGTCTTGGGGGCCTCTCTCAGCGTTCTTGGGGCCCTCTGATCGCGCTTCAGAGCCGTCTTGGAGGCCTCTTGGGCCGTCTTCGGACCCTTCTGGGGCAGTCTTGGGGGCCTTTTGGGCTGACATTGGGCCACCTCGGAGGCCTCTTGGGTGCTCTTGAGGCGATCTTGGTGGCCTCATGGGCAGTCTTGAGCCGTCGGAAGACCGAAAGGAAGCAAATGCCCCAACCAGTAAAACACCTCGGGCATATCAGTGAATGCGGTCTCCTGGAGGTCCTCTTGGAGCCCTCTTTGGGCGTCTGAGGAGTCTCGTGGGCCGTCTGGAGGACATCTTAGGACGTCTTGAGGCCAACTTGGCCGTCTGAGAGGCGTCTTGGTACCGTCTTGAAGACCACCTTCGGCCATCTTAGCCGTGTGGAGGCCGTCCTGGACGCCATCGGTGGCCATCTTGGAACCATTTGAGCGGACAAATCCTCGCCAACCGGGTCTGGATGAGCTTTCCGGGTGGCCGGCGTGCTGGGCCAACGCCCCACGGAGTTCTTTAGAAAATAACTGAAGGCAACGAGACGTCTAGTACGCCGCGCACCCCTGTAGCAAGACCACAGGGGGGCGGCGGGTCTAGTGGCCTTCGGTCCATCCCGCCATCGTGCATGGGCTGTGGGCCAGTGACGTCTTGGATGCTTGTTGGGGTCTCTTGGGGAGCCTCTGGGGGTCTTTTGGATGCAGTTTTGAAGCCTTTTGGGGCCGCATGGGGGCCGTTTGGGAGCCAATTGGAGCTTCTTCTGGGCCTCTTGGGGTCTCTTGAGGATTGGTGCGATCCGAACCAAGCGCGTGGCCCCAGAGGTCCCGACCCCTTCCCTGGGGCTCGTTTTTGTTCCCGATCCATGTTTGGTGGTCCCAGGGCCTGATGATGAGGGGCCCCAGGGGCTGAAATCAAGGCAAAGCTCCTGGACTGAAAACTTCAGTGTCGTCGGAGGTCTGGGGCGTAGACCAGGACAGCAGACAAGAGTGGTGAGCCTTGGGTCGGAGGTGGACAGACCTCCCACCCTGACACGTCGATTAAGGAATTGGCCGTTTTTGGTCCGCGAGAGGGCGTCGCGGCCGTCATTTTGCGGGTCCAGGTCCGTTGGTGTCGGTCCCAGGCCGTTCTCATGAAAGGGAGGTTTGCTACAGGGAGGTTTGCCCACCGCCGATTGGGGGGCTGGAAGCACAGGATGCGGGATCCGAAAAAGAAGCAGTGGTTGTGGTCATTTCCCTGGTGCCAAGCTTAACGTAAATGACCACAACCACTGCTTTGTTTCTGATGGCTGGAAGGGGGCAACAAAAGGAAAGCAGTGGCTGTGGTCGTTTTCACGTCCCGTATTGGGGGGCTGGCAGCACAGGACGTGGGGCGCAAGGCAGCAGACGAGAGACTCCAGCGGGGCGGCAGCACTTCCCGGCAGGGAGTCTCAGAGCCTGGCGCCCCCCCCAGACGCCAGGCGTTGCTTGGATGAAGTCGGGCACGTCCCTCCACAGGAGGAACATCTGAACATAGTCAAACAAAAATATTATGGGGGCGATTTTTGATGTTTGCTTGCATATATTCGAGTATTTGTTGGGGCATTCTTGAATTATCCCCCAAAGTCCCCCTGTAGGAGGACACGCCCGACCTGATGCTAGAGGTGCCCAAGGTGCCCCGAGGATTCTCCGGGGTGGCCCAGACGGCCTCGAGAGCATCCATCACGAGGTCCAGGGTGCCCCGGGGGGTCCACAATGGAGCGAAAAGCTGGGGGCGCCTTGGGCCATGGGCGCGTCGAGCAACCCCCAGTGTACCGTGTGTTTGTCGAGTTTCGCCGCTTCGCGCGTGCTCTACTCTTCTCTTGGGCTAAGGGAGCCAATGCCAAGCCGTTCATGTGAGCCCTGATCGGACGGGGCTAGGACGAGGATGAATCCGTTCCAGAGCGTTCCCGGACGCTCTCAGAGCGTTCTAGAACGCTCTGAGAAGGCCGCGGCGCCCGAGACATGCTCCAAAGCCGCCGCACCTCAGAGATTCTCGATTTATCCTCGCCCCGTTTTATCCTCGTCTTGGCTTCGTCGTAGTGCCGTGTCTTCTGAGTTTTGCCGCTTCGCACGTGCTGTGCTCTTCTCTTGGGCTCAGGCGGGCCAATGTTCAGCCGTTCAGGTGGGCCCTGGAGCTCCCATCAAGTGCAACGATAGAGGGAGATAGACAGGGGGGGATGCATCGGCCCTCAATCGCCCACTGATCGCCAATAGGGGCCCGATACTCTCACCCAGCTCAGGAACGTGCGGATTCGCTATCGAGGGCCTATCGCCGACCTTTCGGCGATGTATCGCCTATTCCAGATCGATGTCTCCCACACTATGCCAGTCCCCCCCCTGTCGTTGCCCCCCGTGCCATGGTAGCCTCCCAGACATCGGGAGGCGGCGGGCCATGGCGGCATGGCGCATCCACTGCGACAGAGTTAGACGCCAGCGCGAGCGCAAACAGTCCAGCAACCAGAAAAAATACATTCACAAGTGCTCTAGATTTGCCGACCCTCGACCCAAATTCAGTCCCAGATTTTGAGGGACCCGAACTAGACGGTGTGGTTCATTTTCTTCACCAGACTCTGTCTGAGTCTGGTCCCGGCTTCTTCTATCTGAAGATGAGTGATGTTGAAAGAGACGCGGCGGAGACGGCTTTGCGATTATCCAGGGAGCAATTTTTCGCCCTCCCTTTGAAGATAAAGATGGCTCTCTCCAATGGTCCAGATACGTATTTCAGGTATAATGGGTATAGGATTCCTTCGTCCGGACCGGGGTACCGCGGATCTGGACTGGACGATAATTTCAAGTTCGATTCCAGGGAGAGTTTCAATGTCGGTTGGGATACAGAGGCGGCGCAGCAGGCGGGAATCCTGGCGAGAGAAGACGTGCCGTACGGACCCACTCCGTTTCCAGATTCTGGAGCAGAAGATTTCAAGAATTCTTGTGACCTGTATTCGCAAATTCTTCTCGAGCGCAGCTCGTGGTTGAGACGGCTACTGGCGAGGGTATTGCAGGTGGTA